CCAGAAGAAAAGGAGTGTGCCCTTAGACAGGTACAATTAACTTCAAACAGATTCCGTCCCCGTATTCTTGTTGATGTTAGCAAGGTAGACTTGACTACAACAATACTGGGCTTCAAAATATCAATGCCTATTATGATTGCTCCAACATCCTTCCATAAGATGGCTCATCCTCAAGGTACGTTATCAAACTCCAACTGTGGTATCATAACATCAAAAAAAAAATTTGAGGGACTGAAAAATAAAATTTAATCTGTAAGTATGGAATATCATAGTATATCTAAAATTAAGTGCATAATAAATACAATTGATAAAAAAAAAAGTAACATTAAGAGAATTTGAGATTCTTTAATTTTGGATTACTTTGATTTAAATTTCTTTTATTTACTAAATATTTTGTTTAGATAAAGTAATTCAAACTTCTTCAATTTTAAATGCTTTGTTTTGGGTAGGGATAATATGATTTTAACATTAAATTTTATGAAATACATAATAGTCAATTTTTAAATATTTAAGTTAAAAATAAATTTAAATATTTAATAATTCATGGAAAGTTATTGATATTTTTACAAGGAGAAAGAGAGAGAAAAGCAAGAGACGTGAATGCATGATAATAAGAAAAAGGAGAGAGGGAGAAAATTAGAGCAAGATGGAGAGAAAAAAGAAGAAGAAAGAAATAGAGAGAAAAAAATGAGGTAAAGAAGAAATCATTTCTTAAACAAGATTAAAATCCATATGAAACAAATGAATTTATTAGAAAAATCCCGGTCTATTTCATATTTCCATTTCGGAGTAAAATTCAAGCGAGTTATTATCGTGTATTCGTTTCTATAATGTTTTCTAAAATGTTTGCAATGAAGGACTAAATCAAGAAACCTAGTGTTATCAAATGAAACAGAAAACTTAGGAGCTTCTAGAAAATTTGTTCCATTCATTTGTGTTTTATAGAGAAGATTGCTCCAATATTGACATTATCTGACTATTGTGTTTGTTATTTGTATACCATATAAAATATCGTAACAAAAAAAAAATATACTAAATAAAATGTAAAATTCATAGAATTAAACATTTAACATTGTGGATTTTTTTAATGCAGAGCTGCCGGATTTTTAATATATTTGTAATTGAAGTTTATTTCTTATTACAGATGAAAAAAATATCTAAAGTAAAACAAATTATGCAACTTTTGTGCAGGAGAATTTGCTACGGCTAGAGCAGCATCAGCTGCTGGAACAATCTTGGTTTGACATTCACCATATTTGTCATCTGCTTTGGTTTTATTTCCAAAACAAGAACTATATTTTTTCCTTGGTAGTTTTATTATTATTTTTACACCAATATGAAATGGTATAAACCTACATATCTACATTCATTTGTTTTACTTATTTACTTTCTTGCAAATTATAATTTGAATAATTTTTTTTTTGTCACAGACACTATCCACATCGGCTACTTCCAGTATTGAGGAAGTTGCTTCAACGGGTCATGGCATTCGTTTTTTCCAACTCTATGTGTGTAAATTACCCTCATTTTTTCTTTCCATAGTTCTCTTATCTCTAATGTGTTAAAAGTCTCACCCTTGAAAACTAGAAAATTTTCTTGACAATGAAACATTTTCATAAAATTTAGATAAAACAGGAAATCAATTTTTATGATTTGTCATTGTAATTTTTTTGGTTGCACACTTGCATTTGTTTCCAATGATTTTTCTACGTGAGTATCTTGCCCTTATTTCTTCTTTCTGTAGTTCTGTTTTCTGTGATGTGTGTTACGAGTCTATCCCTTGAATACAATAACATAGTATAAAACAGGAAATAACTTTTATGAATTATCATTATCATTTTTTTTGTTACACTGTTTTTTGGTTGCACTTTTATCAATGATTTAATGAGTTTGACAAATTAATGGTTGATTCCTGCATACTGCCACAGGGCAATGTATTGCATTTTATTTCCAGTTTTTTTTGCCAGAAAAGATCTTATAGTTTTCACAAATCATTTATAATTTCCTCCAGAATCTTTTATTAATACCTAATACGTTACCGTTCTTTTCTTCTTTCAGGTGCTTAAAGACAGAAATGTGGCTGCTCAGCTTGTGAGAAGAGCTGAAAGAGCTGGTTTCAAGGCAATTGCCCTTACTGTGGACACTCCAATTCTTGGTCGAAGGGAGGCTGACATCAAAAACAGGTTGGTAACCATTTGGAATGAGTTTAATGGTCATGTAGTTATAGTTTAAAACACTTTTACACAATCCATCAATCAAAAATCATTATTAGTATAATTTTTTAATTATTTGTTTTAAAAATCAACAAACTTAGAATACATGGTAGTTTGTAATTGGACGATATTGTAAATTAATTTATATTGTCACTTATCAGTCAGTGTATAGCTTATTTTCTCTTTGAAAATTTCATTAGAAAGTCTTTCCATTAAACTTTACATGGGTAATCATGGTTGAATTGATAAATCTCCTACTTTAAGATACAT